AGTATTAAAGGAACGTTTTTCTGTTGAAGACAGCCTGGTTAGAGAGGAAGAAGGCGGCTCTAGTTGGTGTTTTCTGCTGCAGTAAAACACAGTCAGGTCAGATCGCTGAGAGGAAGAATGGAGGGAACATCTCCACTCCGTCTGATCTGTAAGTAGACAGGTTCTAGTCCGAGTCCTGCTGGGTTCAGCATTGTTCTCTATCTTCTCTACACGTCCAACAACTTTGACTTCACTGTAATCTGTCAGTATCATAGAATTACTGTAGATTCCACTGATCTGTTGGTCTAATAAAGGACCAGCAGGTTCTGATTGTTGGCGCTCTATAGAACCTGACTGGATCTTTATGAATAACAGCATCAGACTATAGAAGCAGAGTTATTAGAGTCCATGTGAAGTCTGAATTAGAGCATTTCAGAGGATGTTGTTCTCAACGTTGGCAGCTTTAGTTTGTAATGGATCCACTTTTTCCTCCAGTTCTGACCTTCCTGCTCTGCTGCTCAACAGATCAAGGTTGGTGAACTTCTGCCACATTAAAATAATTCCAGATATTTAAAGAAACCCTTTGGGTTCAAGCTGACCTCTGAGAGGTTAATGAAAAACAATCACCTGGAGAATTAATGAAAATGATGAGTTTCAGTCTGATTAAAAACTGAAACCATGATGTGATTATTTCAGTCCTTCCAGCAGCTCGTCTGATTGTGAGTCCCAGCAGATCTCAGTTCTTTGAAGGAGACTATGTGTCTCTGAGCTGTGAGGAGAACTGCAGCTCTGCTGGATGGACTGTATGGAGGAACACAACCAGACGAAACAGGACTCAGTGTGGAGATGGATGGGGGAGACCAGCTGGTTCTACCTGTAGATTCACTTATATCAACCCATTAGACAGTGGAGTTTACTGGTGTGGGTCGTCCAGAGAGGGAGCAGCCAGCAGCATCATCAACCTCACTGTCACTGGTAAGATCAGACTGTGGAGTTAGTGTTGATGAAGCTGTGTGGAAATGGATGAAATGCTGTAGTTTGTCTCTGTGTTTAGAT